ACCTATCAGTGGGTGGGTAATCTATCAGTACTAATCATAGTTATTTTTTGCTTTTTAGTTTTGACTTTTTGTTTGTTATTAGTTTTTGGTTTTTTTGAAGTCGGTTTTTTAAACGCAGTTTTTATTTTATTCTTTCATGTCATTCCTCCCTTAAACTGTCAAACACCAAGCGGTCACCGGTGACCGCAACCTATTGTTCTATAATTGTGTCTACAAAACCGGTACTCGACGAGTTAATACAGTGGGATCTGAAAATGAAAATTTTACAAAAAGTGAAATCTTATCAAGTTATCATGATATGAAGTCAAATAGAGAAAAAATAAAGTCAATCATCAGTTTTATAATGCCTTCACACTAGCGTTTGTACAGCGTAGAAACGTAATATGTGCCACGTAGCCGTTTATCGAACGCCTAAGTGTTTTTTTTTCAAAAGCGTCAAATAAAACAGACAATCCTATAACAATAAATAATCATAAAAGTTGAATACCTCACTTTTCAAATACGATTACTTTTGAAATGTTCAATTGTCCAATAACCGTAAATATGTTTGTTACGAGTAAAAGTAGGTACTGTAGAAATGGCAATTTTGAGTTGATCTATTTTTTAATGGTTCTGTTCTATGTATCGGTTGGTAATTTTGTATGGTAACTTTGTAACAGAATATTTTTTTGTCCAGCGAAGGGATCACGAGTTGTTTTAGGTATTTTTACCATCAACAACCTAGAACAAATAATATTTAAATTAAATAGCATAAAACACAAAAAATCTTTATTAATTATACAAGACTTCAGTCACTACTGTTTTCAGTTTTAGTTACTTAACTCGTCGAGTACCGGTTCACAGTTTAAACTGTCAAACATCAAGCGGTCACCGGTGACCGCAACCTCAATAGTTTGCAGACACAATTATAGAACAATTTCTATAATTGTGTCTACAAAACCGGTACTCGACGAGTTAACCGATTAAAAATTAAAAAGAACAAAACTTCACACGTACATATTTTAGTCCAACCTGTCGACACGGAACTCCGACAAAAACTGTGGGGATTCAGTTCACGAGAACCATTACTCTTTATTGGCAATAACATCACGGCATCACAGTTGGGTACATGGCACGGTAGTAATCTTTCTTCGAAGTCTTGCGTTGCGTGCGTTCATATGGCTAGGGGCCGGAATTAGGCCGCGCTGTGTATTCCTCCTATGAAGTTGTAATGGGGTTATCTATGAGAAAGTATTGAATGTATAGAGTTTTGATTATGTATTATAAATATGTAAGTATGTCCCGTCCCTGTAATTCAACGTCAACACTTAAATTTTTGGAAAATGAATTAGTTAAATATATTTATCAGAGTAACTTTTTAAGTATTAAGAACTTCATGTACCTAATAAAATACTAGGAAAGTCATAGTCAGAACACTTATTTCAATTAATTCTTTTTTTTTTCCTTTTTGGCAACTGAGTCTCCAATACAGTGTTGTCGACTATACTGCCAGTGTCGAGTGATGACGGCAGATTATTGGGCCGTCGAAATGAACTTTGTGGTAGTTTTAGTTGTTAGTAAGCAATTAATTCTTAAGCTCTTCTGAAACGTCAAATTAAATTGTCAGTGTAATAAAGCTAGGTGCTCGTTCCTAGGTATAGTTTCGAATAGAGAAGAATGAGCAAGAAACTAAATCGTTACTCTTTTCCAAAAAATGTCTTTTTACAGTCTAAGGTTACGAGAAGCCTATTTTTACTAGGGATTCTTTTTCCAGAATGCATTATGTTATGACTTTTATCAATGAAATTGTAACCGTGCCTACAAAGCATTAGGTATATTAACTCGTCGAGTACCGTCAATATAGACACAATTATAGAACAATAGAGGTAGGTTGCGGTCACCGGTGACCGCTTGGTGTTTGACAGTTTAAACATGTTACCTACTTTAACATAGAGCTGTAGGTACCTCTACATTGTAGGTACACAGTAATGCTATGGGCAGGAAATTATCATATTGAATATCCCCACAACAAGGAAATGAAAATGACATTTTTGACAAATTACCGGCGCATTTAACTTAATTATAGTTGGTTCAATTTTAAAATGACGTTGACGACTATTATACTGGCATGAACAGGAAAATACGGAAGTAAAATTTAAATTATGTTAGATATTGGGGTACAAATAATTTGTAGTTCATGCAATTCATCAAGAAAGTAAATAAACTCACTCCTTGAACTTTCACATTTCATGGTATTAATATGAATGTCATTTTTACGTGTACTTAGTAGGTAATTACATTGTTTCGGCAGATGCCATACTTATCCAATTCCAAATTTACCAGTCCACAGGACCCATACGTAGCCCTACCTTTTTTCCATTATCCACACTAGTTCTACACTAACTGGGGACTGTCCTTGGGTGCATTTCCATAGTGCATACAGGGATAGTCGCCGGTTTGTATCCATTACGTTTAGATTAAAGATGTGCACAGTTAGTTTCGGCCTCTGCACAGTTAGCTTCGGCCCCTAGGACGCCTCCCAAATGTCCGGGACCCATTGGTCCCGTGAATGGTGTAAATCAATAAACATTAGTTAACATTTTTAATCATCGCCATTACCGTATATCATTACGCCTATCCCCCTTGTAGTAGGCAGAGATAACGGAACGCCAAATTGCTGCATTTGTGCATAGGTATTTCTCTTTTTGCTTTTTAAACAATTCTACAATCTCTCGATGCGTAGGTACTCATCGATTAAAGGTGTTTTTAATTTGACCCTTATTTGGTCAGTAAATCATGACTGAGCTAAAATTTCAATCCATTTTTACCTTAATTTAATATCTGCAGGGTATAGACCAGAGTACCTTCCGCGATGTGATGCACAATACCTTCGACTTGGTCACTGAAGAAGCCATCCTGGAGCGTATGTGGATGACCTGGGAGAGAGGCGCCGCAGGAGGGGAGGGATCCTTAAGATTCGAGTCCTGGGTCAAAGGGCTCAGCGTGCTACTCAAAGGAAACATGGAAGAACGAATAGGATACTGCTTCAAAGTCTACGATTTGAATAACGACGGGTTTATAACGAGGGAAGAAATGTTTTTGTTGTTAAGGTATGATAATGATAGTAATTAACAACAAATCCCCTTGCTGTTAATAAGTTAGCTTAGTAGAGGAGATAAATCACGAAACTATTTTTATGTGATATTAAACTGTCAAACACCGCGAGGACACCGGTGACCGCAACCTATTGTTCTGTAGTTGTGTCTATAATGACGGTACTCGACGAGTTAATGTGTATTTAAAAATGCTAAGCTGGATATAAAATTCACAAATCTGAAGCTCAGTTCTATATTAGAACAAATTACTGATCTAACGCTGATATACTCAAACGCTAGTCAAGTTTAAGTCACGCTGAAGTATAGTTCTGTCACCATAAATTCTTTGTAAAATGATAGAGATGGCACGATATTTAAGTACAACTTGAAATTGTCTTTAAGTATTCAGGCGTTACATAGGTAATTGAATCGACGGAACATTTAAATTTAAATTTTTAGAAATGACAAGTCACAAAATAGATACCTATTTGCGAATGTCTACTTAATATGATTCCCAGGAACTCACTATTGAAACAGCCGGGTGATGAGGACCCTGATGAAGGAGTACGAGAGCTAGTGGAACTGGTACTCAAGAAACTAGACGTAGATAAAGATGGAACGGTTTCTTTGGATGATTACAGGTCAGTACCACGAGGAAGATAAAGTATTTGATTTAGATTCCTTAAAAAGCAATTGATTAAATTTATGATTGAAGCTTTGAAACAAAATGAAATAAGTAAAAAACTAAAATAACAACAATTGTTTTAACAAATGTCGAGGTAAGAGGATACATGTATATGAGTCGAAATTTCACCTTTTAGTCATAAAGCAATCGATCATAAAGGTTACAACTAGGTATAAATTTTGTTACCATAATACTAGCTGGTTGAATATAGATATATTTTTATGGAATAAACCGGTAAACGAGCAAACGGATCACCATGGTAAGCAATCGGCGCCGCCCAAGGACACCCAAAACACTAGAGATGGTACAAATGCGCTACTGGCTTTTTGAAGATTGTTCGGGATTCGGGGATTGGGAGTAATTGGGCCTCCGGTAGCCGCATATGACGAAACACAACGCAAGTTTTGTTTCACCTCGGTTTTTGAGAGGCCGTGGTATCACTCCTACACAAAATGTATTTGTTTTTCAGAGAAGCGGTAGAGCAGGAACCTCTTCTTCTAGAAGCATTTGGACAATGTCTGCCCACGAAGAGACACACGACTACATTCCTCAAAACTTTAACTAATAAGACGTAGATAATGTTTGTAGTAGTAATAAGATACTTTTTTGTTAGTCCGTATATACCTTACCTTAATAATCATCTGTACATAAACAGACAAATAATAACAAGGATAACTACTACCTATTAATCATATTCTGTACAGGATGTGGGAATGTTCTATTGTTAGTTGATTTACTACATATATAATTATTCAAGTTAATAAACTTTTTCCATCGCAAGGTAGACTTAGTGAAGTGTAGAATACAGAAACTTTTAGTTAAATATTTAACAAACTACGAGTAACAACATAAATGTAAGAAGTAAAGTAAGAAATTCTTTAAATTTAAACAAATATAGGAAAGCTAGTAATACAAACTACTAAAAAAAAAAAATTCACTTGAAAACAGGATAGGAATAGATAAGAAGGAAAAATAAAAAATATAACGTAAAGAATTGATTGACCTTTATAGACAAAAATCCATTTTAATTCTGATTAACAACTACATGAGGAACGACGTATTAAATTACATTTTCTATTAAACCAACAATTTCTTTTATTTATGTACAAAATTAGTAATGTCATGTATTAATGTTTTATTTACAATATATCTTAATTCAATCATTCGTGGGGGTCCAGACCAGTGCCGATGAAGTCAGTCAGAATCATGCCAGCCGATGGTGGGAATAGGTTGAAGACCTGAAAAAGTAAAAAGACAAAGACAAGTCAGAATGGAATGGAAACATGAGGGTATGTTAAATGAAAAAATAGAAGACCCATAATAAATTATTGAGACAATTGAGATGGATTTCAATATTATGAGCCGAACAAGAACATAGGTCTCATGAGGCGTTCAAAAAGGTATCGGACCACCACAGATGGAGTGCAGTGTGGCTAAAGCCCGATACAGATGCGCAAGACTAATCAGGTTGTCGGTAGTAGGAACGGGGAGGGTTTTAGTCAGTTAGAGTCTGACACTCCCTCTTGCGTCTCGCCTCACTCATCCAAGGTAAGAGAAGTCATTGGATGATTTTCCCCCATTAAAAAAGGCCTTGCGGCAGACGTCTGTCTTCAGCAGTTGATATCTTATGACTGATTTGATGATAATGATTATATAAGCATTCAAAGCATAAACAACTCTAACAGCATTTGATTGGAACATCTGAGGTAGGTTTAAAAAAAGAAAAAAGAAAGAAATGCACCGATAAGAGACACAATAGAAAATACATTGTCTTCATTTTTCCATTTTTGGATACACCAAATAAAATTGGTGTTAATATTATGTTTTAACACATTTTAAGTCGCCGAGTCAACCGAATAAGTTATACGCCAAAATAACGTCAAACACTCACTACTTATTATAAAACAAAGTTGCTGTCCACCGTCTGTCTGTCCCTATGTATGCTTAGATCTTTAAAACCACGCAACGGATTTTGATGCGGTTTTTTTTAATAGATAGAGTGATTCTTAAGAAAGGTTTATATGTATAATACATGCATATTGCACCCGTGCGAAGCCGGGGCGGGTCACTAGTTAAGAATAAAAGATAGTTTAAGAAATTGGTTCAGCAGAGCAAAATATATTATTTTTTGTATTTGTTGAAAAAATTGTAACCTTTACACACATTTAAAAACAGCTAATGTAAATTAATTGATAGATTGATTTATACGTTCTCCGGTCCCGAATCTATTCCGAAAATAGTAATAAATAAGAAAAAAGCATTCAAAGTGTTTTTTAGCACTTGACATTTGATGTCAGGTATAAAAAAGATAATAATTATGACATGTCCTCATAAATAATACATAATATGTCCGAACTTTATATAGTTTGACCTTTGTGCATTTTTTATAGATTAACATCTACCTAATTAAAATGTTTTAATAGTCTAGATTTGTTAACCAAACTTTACCTGAGCTATGACAATTAAATATGGTCTATTGAGAAAATATAGTTCATGTTATTATACCTAGATGTCGTTAGACTAGACTATTTGTGTATGAAAAATAAAAATGCTAACAAAAGTCTCACAGTAATAAATAACACATTTATGATTTGTTTTTGTTAGATTAGCGCCCTTCATATACCATCTACGTTCTAAGACTTAGTGGAGTGATGATATCTTCTAAATGGTGGATCCGCAGTAATGAGAATTGAACTAACTAAACTTGACGTGTTACTACAGAGGTCTACATACAGCTGTGGATGACTTCCAACTTATAATAGGGTAGATGACTACTTTTTAATTTTAATGTCCGTCTGGTAGATTATTTAAAAATATTAGACAGATTTTTTATTTTATTTATTGAAACGAACACTTTCGACGATAATGAGCCTTTCTCCTGGGAAGATTAAAAAAAAATCCGCTAGGGGCAGCACCGGTGGGGGGGTACATATGTTTTGAATTCTCTATTGACAGCAACGTCAAACGTACGTCAAAGGTACATCATCTTCAGTTAATTCCATTTTAATTCTACACATTTGACGTTGTTGTCAATAGAGAATTCAAAACATATGTACCCCCCCACCGGTGCTGCCCCTAGCGGATTTTTTTTTAATCTTCCCAGGAAAAAGGCTAATTATATTGATTTGAAATGTCGCGTGACGTCACTTCTATGTACATTTTATGCATAGACAGAATGATTGAACATTATTCTTTAAACATTTTATATTAATCCCATACATGACGACTATTCAGACGACATATTCAGATGGCGGAGGCTTAGACCGGCTCTCCGCCACGACCGCTTACCCTAGTACCCGTCTTAGCCCCCACTCTTAAACTTTGATTCTTTATATTAAAGTATTATTTTATTATAGAACAAAATAAAAAAATACGTGACTAATAAATTTTCATTACCTAACTGACGGACTAATTAGATTTTTAATTTTCATGCCCTGTCATCATTCCTATATTGCCTTACCTTATTTGAGTAGTACATGTCACTAGGGATGGTGATCTCATGGTATTCTCTAAGAACAGCGTCTACAATCTGGTCTGCTGCGTCTCCTGGATCCACGGTCTTCATGACAGCCTCGAAACGAATGCGAGGGTTATGGCAAAGACCCGTGTTCACAATGTATGGGCAAATAGTCGTGAATTTGATCTGGAAAGAGAAAATGAAATTAGTTGGAGGTAATTGCATGATTTTTGTGGCGGTGGTCAACTGTCGAGGAGTTAGATCTGAAATTAGGTTTTATATTAAGTACAATTATTTTATTTGGAAATGCATTCTCATAACATTTGAGATAGCGAATGGTGAAGCAAAGGGAACTTGGGTAGGCGTGCTCCATCGTCGGCTACATCATAGTTGCGATGTCAAATCAGGTAGGTAATCTATCTTTTTGGTGAACTGTTAAAACCTTACCTACCGATTGCGTCTAAGACATTAATACATAACATAATATAACATCATGCCTTTTATCCCTGAAGGGATAGGCAGAGGTGCACATTACGGCACTTAATGCCACTGTACAATTTACATCCACATTTTACTATCTATGTTATGAGTCCTATGTAATAGGGGGTGAGCCTATTGCCATATACCGGGCACAATTCCAGACTCCAGACTTTGTTTAAAAATCCCAGATGTACTTTGCCCGACTCGGGAATTGAGTCCGAGACCCCTTATCCAGTCTATAAAGAAAACTTACCCCATTTGTATTTCTAGGGTCCTCATGAAGCTCCACGGCGAGGGACTCCATGATGCCTCTGACGGCGTATTTACTGCCACAGTAGGGCACGAGATTACGGAGACCCATTTTGCCGGCCATAGAGGACATAGCGACGATGTGGCCGGAGTTACGGTCCAACATGGCGGGTAGGAAAGCTTGGATCATCTGGAAAAGAAAAAAAGGTTTAATGATCGTTTATCTTATATCTTATCTTTTATATATATAATTCTTCTGTGAGTGTGTTTGTCACTGAACTTCTCTCAAACGACTGGACCGATTTTGATGAAATTTTTTGTGTCTGTTTAAGGAGATCTGGGAATGGTTTAGATTCACAAATCAGCCCGGCAGATGGCGCTGCAGTCGTTGTGTAGGTTAGTTATCCTAAACGGCTAAACTAATTTGAATGAATTTTTGTTTATACACAAGTGGATATGCAGGATAACGTCTGTCGGGTCCGCTAGTACTATTATATAAAGCGGTAGAGTTTGTTTATTTGTTTGTTTGTTTGAACGCGCTAATCTCCATAACTACAAGTCTGATTTAAATAATTCTTTTTGTGTTGGATAGCGCATTTATCGAGGATGGCTATAGACTATAAAATATCACGCTACGACCAATAGGAGCTGAGCAGAGCGTGTGAAACCGAGCGTAAGTAGCTAGTTCACTCATAAAGAACATGGTTCACTTATGAGAGAGACATGTCATTGTCACAGAGGTCATGTGATTAGACCCTGTACCCGGGATATAACTAGCTATACAAATGCTATAGTATGTACAAGCTGAAACGAATATAAATATAAAGTCTCTTTGAGGAAAATTTCATACCAAAATTATGTTTATAAATAAACTTCAGTGTAATTTTATTTAAATACCATTTTGTTAATTAAAATCGAGCATGACCGAGTTAAGTACCAATTTTGCATTCATAAAGGTTAAGTTCATACTGTCAAAGTAGATTAAGGTTCTTTTGTTTAAACCTTCACTGTTTAACATTTAAGTACTTGGAAATCATATTATGTAGGTACCTGCAACCAGGGCACTATACTTGGGCCATATATTTTTATTGGATCTTATAGGTGGCTATCTTTGTTGCAACTACATTTTTTAAAGGTTCAGTTATAATTACAATGAACTTGAACTTCTGCTAGTAGCTATCTGCAGTTTGATACGGAAATATTGACTTGACTGCATAGTTGGTGCGGTGGCTGGGCAACTGGCTGCCGCGTAACGTGTCGCGAGTTCGATTCCCGTACGGGACTCTTTGTGTGAATCTCCACAAATTATTGTTCCGGGTCTTTTTTACTCATTTCGAATAAGTAATTAATATATGAGAGACGGCTCATATAGTAATTAATGGCTGGGCTCGGGATGTCGTTGATGATGTAGTTAGTATATTTTATTTTTATATCGTTTTCGAATCATTGAAAAGGAATAAATTATCCTGAATAGATTTTTATACAAATTACAAGAATTTTACATTCGCAATAAGTTAAGATTAGCTCCGGACCCCAGAACGAGTTGAACAGAGAGTGCAGATCGCTACTACAAGAACAAATAGACCTGTCAGCTAAGTTTACCAACAATCGGAATAGTTTGCGAGAACTTGTCCGACTACTGGTTGAACTTGAAAAACTTGATTGCCAACAATATTGCGTTCTGTTTGGCTTGTTTAGTTGAA